AACATCTTCTCATATCCTATTAGCTATCTACATATCTTCTTTGGTGAGGGGTTGGTCAGGTATTCGCCCCATTTTAAAATCAGGTTGCTCATTTTCTTATTGTAGAGTTATTTGTATATTTTGGTTTTTTGTTTGTTTGTTATTGTCATTGTTTTGAGACAGAGTCTTGCTCTGTCACCCAGGCTGGAGTGCAGCGGCACAATCTCAGCTCACTGCAACTTCTACCTCCCAGGTTCAAACAATTCTTGAGTCTCAACTTCCCAAGAAGCTGGAATTACAGGCATGTGCCATCACACCTAGCTAAATTTTGTATTTTTAGTAGAGACAGGGTTTCACCATGTTGGCCAGGCTGTTCTCAAACTCTTGGCCTCGAGTGATCCGTCCCCCTTGGCTTCCCAAAGTGCTAGAATTACAGGCGTGAACCACTGTGCCGGCTTATTTGTATATTTTGAATAACAATCATGTGTCTGTGTGTTGGATTTTGTTTTGTTTTGTTTTTTGAGACAGGGTCTCATTCTGTTGCCCAGGCTGGAGTGCAGTGGTACAATCACAGCTCTCTGCAGTCTCAACCTCCCTGGCTCAAGCAATCCTCCCACCTCAGCCTCCCAAGTAGCTGAGACTACAGGTGTGCCACCACATCCAGCTAATTTTAACATTTTTTGTAGACAGGGTCTCCCTATGTTGCCCAGGCTGGTCTCGAACTCCTGGACTCAAGCGATCCTCCTGCCTTGTTCTCCCAAAGTGCAGAGATTACAGGCATGAGCCTCCACTCCCAGCCCAAACTTTTATCAGATATGTCTTTTGCAAATATTCTCTCCTGGGTTGTGGCTTGTCTCTGCATTCTCTTGACAGTGACTTTCGCAGAGTATAAGTTTTTAATTTTAATGGAACTAGCCTATCAGTTCTTTTTTTTTATGGATCATGCCTTTGGTATTGTGTCTGAAAAGCCCTCACCATACACAAGGTCATCTAGATTATCTCCTATGTTATCTTCTAGGAGTTTTATTGTCTTATGTTTTATGTTTAGGTCTATGACCCATTTTGATTTTACTTTTAGTGAAGGCTATAAGATCTGTATCTAGATTTTTGTTGTTGTTGTTCTGTTTTGCATGTGGAAGTCCAGTTGTTCCAGCACCATTTCTATTTTTTGTTTTCCAGCACCATTTCTTGAAAAGACTATCTTGGCCGGGTGCAGTGGGTCATGCCTGTAATTCCAGCACTTCAGGAGGTCGAGGTGGGTGGATCACCTGAGGTCCGGAGTTTGAGACCAGCCTGACCAAAATGGAGAAACCCCGTCTCTACTAAAAATACAAAAAATTAGCCTGGTGTGGTGGCACACACCTGTAATCCCAGCTACTCGGGAGTCTAAGGCAGGAGAATCGCTTGAACCCAGGAGGTGGAAGTTGCAGTGAGCCCAAATCACGCCATTGCACTCCAGCCTGGGCAATAAGAGCGAAACTCCATCTCAAAAAAAAAAAAAAAGAAAAGAAAAGAAAAGACTATCTTTGCTCTATTGTATTACTTTTGCTTTTTTGTCAAAGATCAGTTGACTGTACTTATGTGGGTTGATTTATGGGCTCTCTATTCTGTTCCATTTATCTATTGATCTATTTGTCTATTCTCTCACCAGTACTACACTGTATTGATTACTGTAGCTTTAGAGTAAGTTTTTTTTGTTTGTTTGTTTGTTTGTTTGTTTGTTTTTCTGAGACAGAGTTTTGTTCTGCTGCCCAGGCTGCAGTGCAGTGGTGCTATCTCAGCTCACTGTAACTTCTCCCTCCTGAGTTCAAGCAATTCTCCCGCCTCAGCCTCCCAAGTAGCTAGGATTATAGGCACGCACCACCATGCCTGGCTAGTTTTTGTAATTTTAGTGGAGATGGGGTTTCACCATGTTGGCCAGCTGGTCTCAAACTCCTGACCTCAAGTCATCTGTCTGCCTCGGCCTCCCAAAGTGCTGGGATTACAGGCGTGAGCCACCATGCCTGGCCAAGAGTAGCTCTTGAAGTAGTGTCAGTCTTTCAACTTTGTTCTCCTTCACTGAGTTAGCTATTCTGGGTGTTTTGCTTCTCCAAAAAACTTTAGAATTGGTTTGTTGATATCCACAAAATTAAATGCTGAGAATCTATATATAAAGTTGGGAAGAACTGACTGGGCTCAGTTCACAATATTGAGTCTCCTATCCATGAACATGGATTATTTCTCTATTTATTTAGTTATTTGATTTCTTTCATCAGAGTTTTACCATTTTCCTCTGATCTTGTACATATTTTGTGAGATTTATACCTAGGCATTTCTTTTTTTGAGACAGATTATCTCCCTGTTACCCAGGCTGTAATGCCGTGGCTTGAACTAGGCTCACCAGAACCTCTGCCTCCTGGGTTCAAGTGATTCTCGTGCCTCACCCTCCCAAGTAGCTAGGACTACAGATATACACACCATATATGGCTAACTTTTGTATTTTTAGTAGAAACAGTGTTTCACCATGTTGGCCAGGCTGGTCTCAAACTCCTGACCTCAAGTGATCCACCTGCCTCAGTTTCCCACATTCTGGGATTACAGGTGTGAGCCACTGTGCCCGGCCTTATTTTTGAGGGATGCTAATGTAAATAGTGATATGTTTTTAATTTAAAATTCCACTTAATTGCTGGCATTAGGAAAGTAATTGACTTTTGTATATTAACCGTTATCCTGGAAACTTTCGTCACTAGCCTTCTCCCGGGACTGGCATCTCACCCTTTAGATTAGAACCCCATGACAGCAGGCAGTGGCACTGGGACATTTGAAGGCCTGGACAAGGCTGCCCTGTAAGGGTGGGCAGGGTGTGCACACTGCACACTGAAGAGAGAGGCATTCACATCACCTACATACTGGATATTGTAGATTTGTACGTTTTTGGTGTCAATTTCCTAGCAGTCAAGCGTCTTGAGGAAGAGATACTGTTTTCTAATTCTCACAGAGGAGGCTCTGATCCCGCGATGGCCCTGGTCAAGGCTGGAGTAAGCCGGCTGCCTCCTGTGCTGGGCGATACCGAGGACATGGCTGAATGAAGACAAGGGAAAGGGCTGGGAGGGAGAGCGTGGGTTCAGATGCAACTGCGGGCCTGCCGTTCTCTCTGTTCTGTACTTTCTCCTCCTGGTGTTGCCCACTGGGCCAAATGCAACCAGCTACTGATTAACAGAGGCCTCCGGGCAGCTGTGTGTGGCTTTTTCCAATGAACCAAGTGTGTAAACTTTTTCAAAGTCGAATGTGGGTCAAGAGGCATTAGGCAGAGAGGTTAAGAATAAGGCTCGTGGGGCCAGGTACAGTGGCTCACGCCTGTAATCCCAGCACTTTGGGAGGCTGAGGCGGGCGGATCATGAGGTCAGGAGATCGAGATCATCCTGGCTAACATGGTGAAACCCCATCTCTACTAAAAAGAATACAAAAAATTAGCCAGGCATGGTGGCGGGCGCCTATAGTCCCAGCTAGTCGGGAGGCTGAGGCAGGAGAATGGCGTGAACCCAGGAGGCGGAGCTTCCAGTGAGCTGAAGAGCCTGGGCTGCAGAGCGAGACTCCAACTCAAAAAAACAAACAAACAAAAAAGAATAAGGCTCGTGGAGTGTGACGAGTCATGGGTCTAGTCCCAGCTGTCCATGACCTTGGACAACTTATCTGATGTCTCAGCGTCTTTGTCTGTGGGTACAGTAGGTAGCAAGGGTACCTACCCTACAGCCTGTTGTGAGGAAGAGATATGAGTTTGCATGTAAATCACTTCACATGGTAAACCTTGATAGCAGAAACAAAGAATAAAACAGCGAAGGGAGGGTGACACCAGCACCCCCAGGACTGACTCAGCATTTGGGCCCAGGGGCTCTGCTACATTTAGGACCCTGAGAAAATGTTTTAACTCCTTTATAAAATCAGGAGGAAATGACCAGGCTTGGTAGCTCACTCCTGTAATCCCAGCTTTTTGGGAGGCTAAGATGGGCAGATCACTTGAGGTCAGCAGTCTGAGACCAGCCTGGCCAACACAGCAAAATCCCCTCGCTCCTAAAAATACAAATACAAAAGCTCCAGCTCCTAAAATTAGCTGGACGTGGTGGTGCACACCTGTAATCCCAGCTACTTGGGAGGCTGAGGCAGGAGAATCACTTGGAGCCAGGAAGTGGAGGTTGCACTGAGCCGAAATGGCACCACTGCACTCCAGCCTGGGTGACAGAGGGAGACACCCTCTCAAAAAAATATAAATAAATAAATAAATCAGGAGGAAAATGTGAATATAATAATAAATATATATCATAATGACTCCAGCTTGGATTTTGTCTTTATACCAATGTAGCTATAAAATATAATTTTTAAAAAATTTTCACAAAGGAAGGTACTCACGAAAGAAGAAGTACCCAGGGCCTGTGAAAAGCACAGCACAGCCCTAAGTCCTATAAAATATGTTTTTGAAGCCTTGTCTCCAAGGACTTCAGTCTACTTTGTAAATAAAAATGAAACTCTCGGCTGGGCTCAGTGGCTCATGCCTGTAATCCCAGCACTATGGGAGACCGAGGTGGGAGGATCGTTTGAGCTCAGGAGTTCAAGACCAGCCTGGGCAACGTGAGGAGACCCCCATCCCTACAAAAAAAAAAAAAAAAAAAATTAGCCAGGCATGGTGGCACATGCCTGTAGTCCCAGCTACCTGGGGGCTGAGGCAAGTGGGTCGCTTTACCCTGGGAGGTGGACATTGCAGTGAGCTATGATCGTGCCACTGAACTCCAGCCTGGGTGACAAAGTGAGACCCTGTCTCCAAAAAAAAAAAAAGAAGAAGAAGAAAAGGAAAGAAAGAAGGAAGGAAGGGAAGGGAAGGAAGAAGGAAAGGGAGTTCGATATGTCTGTCTCTGAGAAAGGACACCATCGGGGCAAATTCTAGGGAGAAGCTCTTGGGAGCACCTCCCCCTCCAGCCCATAGCTCCACCGTTTCCTTCCCACAGCCAAGATATTTGTCCAGAGGAAAGGTGGAAGGAAAACCTCACCTTTGAGCTTTTGAGGGCTTGAGTGTGTCTGGTGAGCAAGTATTGATCCAGTGATTTGATTCTGGGATTCTGTCCATGCTCAGATGCAGATTCTTATTGGAGAAAAAGAAAGAAAAAGCTTGGCACCGGTGACCCAAACAAGCCAGTCTGATCCAGGCACATTGGAGGCAGCCAGGGCTTATAAATAACCACGCCGGCCGGACCTGGAGGAGCCTGGGCCACACAGCCTGTCCCCACGAGGGGCCGGCGGCTCCTGGGCCCGAGTTTCACACCATGGCATCCGCTGAGCTGTTATTTCACTCCGAGGAGAGGAGGGAACACAGGGAGGTGGCTCAGGTGACTTTCCCGGGTGCCTGTTGTTCACTTGTTCTGGCCGGACAGCCGGACGAGCTCCCCAGCTGGCATTGGAAAGGTCACAGGGCTAAAGGTCACTTGCCTTGAATGAGCGTTCCTCAGAGCCCTGCACCTCAGGACCCACACCTGTTTATTATTCATTTTTTTATTTTATTTTTTGTTTCTTTTATTATTTTATTTATTTATTTATTTATTTATTTATTTATTTATTTTTGAGATGGAGTTCCACTGTTGTTGCCCAGGCTGGAGTGCAATGGCACAATCTCAGCTCACCATAACCTCCGCCTCCCGGATTCAAGCAATTATCCTGCCTGAGCCTTCCAAGTAGCTGGGGTTACAGGCATGTGCCACCACACCTGGCTAATTTTATATTTTTGGTAGAGACAGGGTTTCTCCATGGTGGTCAGGCTCGTCTCCAACTCCCGATCTCAGGTGATCCGCCTGCCTCGGCCTCCCAAAGTGCTGGGATTACTGGTGTAAGCCACCACACCCAGCCTATTTTTTTATTTTTTATTCATTGTTTTATTTTTTTGAGACGGAGTCTTGCTCTGTTGCCCAGGCTGGAGCGCAATGGTGCAATCTCAGCTCACTGCAAGCTCCGCCTCCTGGGTTCACGCCATTCTCCTGCCTCAGCCTCCCGAGTAGCTGGGACCGCAGACGCCTGCCACCACGCCCAGCTAATTTCCTGTATTTTTTGTAGAGACGGGGTTTCACCGTGTTAGCCAGGATGGTCTGGATTTCCTGACATCGTAATCCACCCGCCTTGGCCTCCCAAAGTGCTGGGATTACAGACATGAGCCACTGCGCCCAGCCATATTTTTTTTATTTTTAAGACAAAGTCTCACTCTGTCCCCCAGGCTGGAGTGCAGTGGTGCAATCTCCACTCCATGCAGCTGGTTCACTGCAACCTCCATCTCCTGGATTCAAGCAATTCTCCTGACTTAGCCTCCCGGGTTCAAGTGAAGAGAACTTGGGTTCCAAACTCCCGCAGGTGCTTCACGCGGGGGCAGACGCAGCTTAAGCTGCAGGGACTCCAGCAATGGGCCTCTGCCAGTCAAATGTTTTTGCCAGACTTGCAAAGGGGAAGTGGTTAAATATGACCCCTTTCCATTTTGACCTCCCACTATGCACTACCCCTCCTGCCAGGGATCATTACAATGGATGCAGGTGTTTGGGATCTGATGAGAAGGTGGGTTAAGTTTGGTGGTGAATATCTATGCAGTTTGTGGTCAAGTCTGTGTATGTAAAATTCTTATAGGAAAGGCTTCTGTAGCCAGGCATGGTAGTGCAGGCCTGTAGTCTTAGCTGCTCAACAGGCTGAGGCAAGAGGATTGCTTGAGGCCAGAGTTCAAGGCTACAGTGATCTATGATCACACCACTGCACTCCAGCCTGGGCAACAGAGCAAGACCGTGTCTTTGAAAAAGAAAAAAACGTCTGGGCATGGTGGCTCGTGCCTGTAATCTCAGCACTTTGGGAGGCCAAGGCGAGAGGATCACTTAAGTCCAGGAGTTCGAGACCAACCTGGGCAACATAATGAGACTACATCTTTACAAAGACATTTCAAAAATTAGCCAGGCATGGTGGCATGAACCCCTAGTCCCAGCTACTCAAGAGGCTGAAATGGAAGACTCACTTAAGCCCAGAAGGTCACGGTTGCAGTGAGCCATGTTCACACCACTGTACTCCAGCCTGGGTGACAGAGCAAGACTGTCTCACAAAAAAAAAAAAAAAAAAAAAAAAAAATAGGCCAGGCGCGGTGGCTCAAGCCTGTAATCCCAGCACTTTGGGAGGCCGAGGTGGGTGGATCACGAGGTCAGGAGATCGAGACTATCCTGGCTAACACGGTGAAACCCCGTCTCTACTAAAAATACAAAAAACTAGCCGGGCGTGGTGGCGGGCGCCTGTAGTCTCAGCTACTCAGGAGGCTGAGGCGGGAGAATGGCGTGAACCCGGGAGGCGGAGCTTGCAGTGAGCAGAGATCACACCACTGCACTCCAGCCTGGGAGACACAGCGAGACTCCGTCTCAAAAAAAAAAAAAATTGAAGAAAAGACTTCTAGAAACACTTTCACCATCCACTACAGCTCACCCTGAACAATGACAGGTCAGTGCGTCAGTGCGGGGTCAGAAAATGTGCTGCCAAGTGTAGGGGAAAGAATGCTGGGAACGCCAGGCTGCTGATTGAATTTTAAAGATTTTTTAAAGATCTTTTTTCCTGGATTAAATGTTTGTTTATACTGTTCCTTACTCCAGTCTTCTGGTCTCGTGGAGGGCAACACGAGAACAAGGTTGGTTTGAGTTCTGCTGTGTCGCAGGCACCGATTTTCCATCCTAGCGGGACATTCCACGGAGGCCAGGTGGAGCTGATGCTCAAAAGGAAAGTCAGGGAGGAGTCAACACGGCAGCCCCCAGCACACAGGTGCTTATCAAATCCCGGAACGAGTCACCAGACAGACAAGGCAGAGTGGGAAGTGATACAGGAGTTAAGAAAAAATTGCTTAGGCAGATAGCGAAGGTACAGAAATCTTCAGTAGGGTTTTCCTTTTCATGAAAAGCAGCCCAAAATTGTTTTCCCTTCTGACAAAGAGCAGCCCGTAAAATCGAGCTGCAGACATAAATGCCGGCAGGTGTGCCAATCGTGTTCAAGGTGGCGGCTCCATCTTCCCTTCTCTTGTCTGCTCGCACATGTATAGTAAGGAGCAGACAAGACGACCCGGCCAAGGGGAAAGTCATTTGCATAATAAGATTAGGGTGGGGCAGCCAGCCTTCTGGGCACACTATGTAACTATGATGCTTGATCAAACCAGTCTGTGAGCCCTATGTAAATCAGAAACCGCCTCCTCAAACGTGACTGTAAAATCCCTCCCATTGCCTGGACGTGGTGGCTCACACCTGTAATCCCGCCACTTTGGGCGGCCAAGGTGGGTAGATCGCCTTAGGCCAGGAGTTCAAGACCAACCTGGCCAACATGGCGAAACCCCGTCTCCACTAAAAATACAAAAATTAGCCGGGCATGGTGGTGGGTGCCTGTAGTCGCAGCTACTCAGGAGGCTGAGGATCGCTCGAACCCAGGAGGCAGACGTTGCAGTGAACCAGAGGTTGCAGTGAGCTGGGATCGTGCAATCACACTCCAGTCTGGGCGACAAAGTGAGACTCCGTCTCAAAACAAAAACAAAATCCGGCGCATCCACCACTGGCTGGCCTTTTCCTCTCAGAAGTCCCCTCTCTCTCACTAGAAAAAGAGTTGTGTCCTCTTTCTTTCTCTTTCTCTTGCCTGTTGAACCTCCACTCCTAAATGCCTCATGTGTGTCCGTGTCCTAAGTTTTTCTGGGGCAAGACGACGAACCCCAGGGTATTTGCCCCAGACAACACAGCTGCTTCAGAAGGGTGGGCCTGGGACCCAGCACAGGGGACAGAAGAGAAGGAGCCACAGAGGAGGCCACGCCAGGCAAGCAGGGAGGGCGAAGGGAAAGCGGCAGAGGCAACGCCGGGGAAAAGACAGCTTTCATCACCTGGAAGCCATGGCATTCCGTGATCGGTTCTTTCTGCCCCACTGAAACTGCCATTACAAAATTTGAAAGAGAGCTGACCTGACCAACTCCATCTTGCTTCTAACCTCCAAGTTGTCCTGGTTCATTCCTGGGTGTAGGCTGAACTAACTTTGGGAAGAACTTAGTTTAGAGTTTATTTTTATTTTTATTTATTTATTTTTTGGACACAGGCTCTTGCTGTGTTACCCAGGCTGGAATGCAGTGAGCCAAGATTGTGCCATGATGGAACCTCCACCCTCCAGGTGTAAAAAGTAAAATAGAAGTTCCTCTTCAAAGATGTTCTTGCGCATCTAATTAGGAATAAATAGTAACATCTTTTAGAAGCAAAATTTATTGAAAGACCTGTGCTAATATTCTTAAATATCCGCTAGCCATAATAAAGAAATTGATGTGGCCGGGCGCGGTGGCTCAAGCCTGTAATCCCAGCACTTTGGGAGGCTGAGACGGGCAGATCACGAGGTCAGGAGATCGAGACCATCCTAGCTAACACGGTGAAACCCCGTCTCTACTAAAAAATACAAAAAAACTAGCTGGACGAGGTGGCGGGCGCCTGTAGTCCCAGCTACTCGGGAGGCTGAGGCAGGAGAATGGTGTGAACCCGGGAGGCAGAGCTTGTAGTGAGCCAAGATCCGGCCACTGCACTCCAGCCTGGGTGACAGAGCAAGAATCCGTCTCAAAAAAAAAAAAAAAAAATCAATGTACTTTATGTTCTTAGCTCCCACAATTTAGCCTAAATGTTTGTCCTGGCATGCTTATACTGGTCCAAGCAAGCATTAGGTCATAGCCTGTTCCTCTTCCTTATTTGAAGGTGTTTTTAGCTTTCTCAGCATTCCACGAGTTACTTCCTCCTTCCTTTGTTCTCCTCTGTCTTTGCTTCTTTTAAAAGTTCTAAGTTGCGGCCAGGTGCGGTGGCTCACGCCTGTAATCATAGCACTTTGGGAGGCCGAGGTGGGCGGATCATGAGGTCAGGAGTTTGAGACCAGCCTGACCAACATGGTGAAACCCCGTCTCTACTAAAAATACAAGTTAGCTGGGCATGATGGCACATACCTGTAGTTCCAGCTACTCAGGAGGATGAGGCAGAAGAATCGCTTGAACCCGGGAGCTGGAGGTTGCAGTGAGCTGAGATTGTGCCACTGCACTCCAGCCTGGGTGACAGAGCAAGATTCCGTCTCAAAAAAAAAAAAAAAAAAGTTCTAAGTTGCTAAGCTGCTAGCCAATCAGGACAAATGCAGAATATGAGGTCCTGTTCCAGCCGATGGAAACCAGACACAGCAGTAGGGTGGATGCATCAAGTTATAAATGACCCTGTCTCCTTTGTTTGGTGTACTCTTGTGGCAAAACTGCTGGCGAGGGTACCCTTTCTGTAGAAAGTAAAAAATTGCCTTGCTAAGGAAATTAAATTTATGTTCAAGTGCTATTTCTTTACGGCACC